AGAGAGAGAGAGAGAGAGAGAGAGAGAGAGAGAGAGAGAGAGAGACACGCACTGGCTAGCTGGAGCTTCCAGTCTTTCCCGGGTGGCATTGGCTCTTTGCAGTGGCCCTGTCACCAGGTGAAAGCTGCCTGCTGGGTGGGAGAACGCACCCTAGTGCGGCCAGCTGACCTTCACTGACTCTGGAGAGAATTTGTGAAGGGTCTGGGAGAAGAAGCCTTAAGACTCCAAGAGACAGAAGAAAGCCCCCCCCCCAACCAAAGAATCTTCTGCCACTGGGGGAGATAGCACTGAGTTAACAAACAGGCTTGATTACCCAAGGTAATTATGTAAAAGGAGCCGAGGAGTTCTAAATGGCTGCAACTTGGAGTTTACTCTGCCTAAGGTGAGTGTTTAGTGTTTCTGATTCTCTGGCGGTGCTTTCCTCCCCCTCCCCTTTTCTGTCTTTGCCCACCCCCAATTTGAAAAAGCTGCTTGCTCTGCCCGCCAGACCCCCTTAGATCTTAGATTCTGTTGTTCTCTTCCTGTGATACTCAGCCCCATCCTAATTAGCCTCGCACCGCTGACTCCTGGGACCCCGAGCTCTCTCCTCCTCTAGTAAGGAGCAGCTGTGTTTATCCCCACACCCTGCAAATGCCTCCCGTGCTTATTTCACCGACGCTGCTGTGGTGCCGCTGTCCAAAGAACACACCTTCCCAGCCAGCCCAGCTGTCAAGTCTGGCCCCAGCGGTTGAGGGGGAAGCGGTAGGAACTCTGAGCTCTTCAAAACCAACCCGCTCCGCTGTTTGGCATCTCCTTCCCCTTCCCTGTGACAAACGATCCCTCCTGTCTCAATCATCTCCGGTCCTTCCCGATTGCTAGTTTTGTTTATGGAGCCCACGGTGGCTCCCGGCCGCCTGTGGTTGCACCGCTCACCCTATGGTTTGGGGAGGCAGGGGGTAGCATCCCTGGTCCTCCAAGCGTGCTACTGACTGTTAAACCAGATTTGGGCAATCCAGAGGCCCCAGGAGCGGGTGACAGGAGAGTGCCCCCTCCCCCAGGGCGAGTGGGGGTAGGGAGAGGAGAAAGGGACTCGGCTTGGGGAAGGAGGCAGGGAGGCAGCTGCAGTGCTGCGAGGGGTGCGTGCGCGTGTGCCAAGCTCGCCCGCTGCTTCCCGATTCAGCCTGCACTCTTCAGCGCGTGGGACACAGGGACCCAAGAGCTGGAAAGCAGGAGTGGTGCCCTTCGACCTGGCCTTGCCTCCCTTGGGCGCCTGGCGGTCCCTGGGGCCGAGCGCACGGGGCGGGGCGCAGGACCCGGGCCACGCTCCCCGCCCCCGCCGCTTGCGCCCAGCCTGGCTCCCACTCCATTGAGTTTTCCCGAAGCGGGCGCCCATCTATGGTCCTGCTTAGGGATGCACACGCAGCTCGCGGCCGGAGGGGGGTAGCAGCCACCGCCTCCAGGTACTGGCTTTCCTGGGTCCCCGCCGCCACCCGCCGCTGCTGCCACTAGAGCCCTGGGCGCATTGAGGTCCTGGCCATGGGGCTGCTGAGACTGCCGTAGCTGGCGTGAGAAGGGGCGACAGGAGCCGCAGGGCTCTGGGGTCCCCTGCTGCCTGTATGGATGTCTTCAGCTTTGTGAAGATTTCAAAGCTCTCAAGGTAGGGACTGCGCGGGTTTTCTTTGCACCCAGGGCCGCCGCTGGGGATAACTTGGTGCTTTATTTTTCCGGAGGCTGGGAGAAACAAAAGCTTAAGAGAGCAGCGGGGCTCAAGATAGTACTGAAATCAGAGGACAAGAGGGTGCCGCCTTCAACTTATTTCTCTCTGACTGGTGGGGCTTCTGTATCCCTGGGTGTAGAACACACACACACACACACACACACACACACACACACACACACACACACACACCAATTTGGGGTAGTTTGTTTTTCTTAGGAAAAGCCCCAGTGGTGCTCTGGGCCACACTATAATAAAGGGCCAAGAGAAGATGCTTGTAATTGTTCATTGCTGGGGAAAGCCAGAAGTACTTCAAGCTTGGGTACTTGGCTTCCAAGCAGCCATAACCCAAACTGTTCCCCTTTTCCCCCATTCTTAAATTAGACCTCCATGTTCTGGAAAAGTCAGTTTGTAGGTTGACCCTGATATTTCCAGCAGCGACCCAGATGACAAAGTCATGGAGGTAGAAGAAAAAAAGCTTTCAGCGATTATTTGAGTAAACTGTCGAATTCTTAAGCCTTGAAGATTTAGAAATTTGCTTCTAAGTAGCTGTGTTATTATTGAAAGCGAAGACAAATAATTGAATCAAGGCAGATTTTTTTCCAGCAGTGCTGATGGGAAAGTAGTTAACATTCCTACTTTGGGATCATTATGTGGTTACAACATCCTTCTATCCACTGGCCCCACAGTGACTCCAAAACCTTCACTGAACCCATGTCTTGTGCTTGGGGCAGTAACTGGGAGAGCTGGACAGTAGTGATGTTGGAAAAGTGTGCCTCCCCCTTCCCTGCAGATCTCTGGCAGAGCAGCCCTCTGCCTTGGAGCTCTGGGGAGGTAGCAGCTAGGAGATATACACTTATTTTTTTTCCAATATGGAGAACATCATGCTACATCTTCCTTTATTCTTTAGGATCAAAGTGAGATGTGTTTATTGCACCAATCAGGGATGAGCAACCTCCAAAGTCCTGAGGCAAGGAAATAGGTTGACTTGGTTTTGCTCAGTCTTGTTTGGGCCACTTCAGAACCTTTTGGTTTGGAAACTGCCAGTAACCACAGCTCTTTGTTTTTCCTACCCATCTCTACCTGCCCTCTACTCACATGTGTCAATCACCATTTCACAAGTAGATTTCTCCAGGGAAAAGGTCCCACTGTGACTTACTCTGGGTAGATTGGAGATAAAGGGGTGTTGAGTAAATATGTGTCTTAGAGTTGCCCACGAGAGGTCCCTGCAGATCAGAAGACAGATGTGTGAAGCAGTCAGTGATTGTAGTGTGGCAGATTATTTGGATTCATGCTGCTATCAGAGGGCCACGGTTTCACACCATGATCTTATTAACTTCCTGCAGGCTTCTGCCTATGGCTGGGTAATAAACAGCTGTCAAATAATGAACCATGGTCAGGAAAGAGCTAAGGGCCAACCAAATCTGAGATACTTGTAGTACCCTCTGTGTGATGGACTGAAACACCATGAAGGAAAGAGAAGTTCAGCCAAGTGTATGGGTTCAAGTAACAGAGAGAATTTGGGATGGCCTCAAATGCTAAAATCAATCAGATTCACAAAACATCTAGAGACTCCACGTAGCCATTAAACTTTAAATCCTTGGTGAAGTCAGTGTTGTATGCCAATGAAAAATTCATTATATTTATTTTATATGAATCTAGGATGCCTTTGTGGTATCCACAAATCTGATATCTATCTATCTATCTATCTATCTATCTATCTATCTATCTATCTATCTATCTATCATCTATCATCTATCTATCTATCTACTTAAGCCTCTGGTTGTATGTGTGAATGTATGATGTGGGGTGGGGGTGGAAGATTAAAATCTTCCTTTAATGGAAGGTTAAAATTCGGTAAATGACTATGAATTTTACTTTCTGTCTTTAATATAACCCCCTAGAATGTTTTTCTAAAGGGAGGATGTGCAAAGATTTTGAGTCAATGTGCCCACTGAGAAACCTTCCATCCACGGGAATTCTTCCTTTGCTCAGTGTGAGCTGAAGGATGTTCCCCAAGCTGGAACAGAGATGGCTTTTGAGGGTCAGCAGCCTGCAGAAACATATGTCTGCAGCTGTTTGTTTCTGCCCTTGTAACAAGTCTTGTGTGTGTTTTAAACACTATTAGAGAAATCATGTACAAAAGTGCTTACATGGCAGGATTTGACTGATTTTAGGATGGATAATCTTCCTAAAGGATTTAACTTTGATCAGCATGGTGGCTTGAGTACTTAAAATTCTCCTGGCTTACAGGCAAACACGTACTTGCCCTAAGTCTTAGCATTCCCTTTGGTTCTGAGGAACTCGAGTTGCTTAATGTTGATTCAGAAAGCATTTGTTATAACTGATATTTGCCAAGTGTCCGATCTGTGAGTACAAACAGTGGTCATTAAAGAGCATTTTGAGAGACTATTAATCCATGCTAGAATCAATAAATTACATGTTTGGACTATCTAAGGCATCTACACTTAACCATTTGTTTACTGACTCTGTGACTTTTCATATGAAAAGTCAGAAATCTAATTGCCACTCAAGAACCCAGTACCATCTTGTCATACTCCCTTAAAATTAATGCTAAGCTGGAATAGCTAGCAAGTGCTGGTGACCCTTTAAGCCATCTGTATAAGTTCTGACCCTTGGTTGCATCCGTTGTGGGTGGCACAATGTGTCATGGTTCTAACTGAAGATGTTTTTCGTATTCTAATTTTCTGGTTATTAAACTGCTTGATAGTTTACATGCAGTTTTACTTCGCTGTTTCCTTGGTAACAGTTATATATCATTTTTTTTCCACCCTTGTAGATGAGAACATTACAGATGATTGCTTTATAACCCAGTAATAGTATAAAAATAGGCATATATTTTTATTGTTATTAGTCTTTGTGTTGACTATTTCATTTGTAAAGCAGATGCACTCTCTCAAATGTTTACAGAAGAATGCTATTCAGTAGAAAAACATATGATTATGCCGCTTTTTTCTAAGGGAGGTGAGTTGAAACCCCAAATTCACAAGGGTGTTATTAAACTGAGCAATGTGTTCATGAATTGTGTAGCTGATTTCAGTTCTTTAAGCAGAGTGGGGTCCCAAGTATTGATATAAAGATCATTTCTTATGGTAGTAAGTGAATTCAGGGGAAGCTTTATTTTTCCATTTTAAAATCATTGCATGGCTTATTCTATGGTATACGGACGGCAGTTACTAAAGTCTGTCATAATAAAGTGTGGTAATTTTGTTACAAATATCTTACATTTGAGGAAGAGTAAAATATACATATTTATAGTTTCCTTAGATTTTAGTGGGAAACCCATTTAAATGTAATGAGCTATTCATTTTCTTTTACCTTCAACTTATTCAGAATTAACTATTTTCCAGGGAAGAAGGACATTAAAGATGGGCAAAAGGTTAGAGTTTTCCCATCTCCTTGATTTTTTCCCTGAGTTATTGCATCAATAGTGCTGGTAATAGTGAACTCTGGAGACTAGCAGTGAAAGAAGACCCCAAAGACTCCAGATTTAAATTTTATTAAAAAATGATACTTGCTCATCCTCCGAGTCTTTTCTGACGTCTCCTGATTTTCGTGGCTGTCAGGAGGAGAAATGACGAAGAGTTTCATAACAGAACTAGATTCCTGTTTTAGGAATATTTAACTTGGGTTTCCCAGGGGCTGAGAGTGTGTGGTACAGAAGT